GTGGGAGAGGGAGAAGCAGGCTCCCCACGGAGCAGGGAGCCCGATGTGGGGCTCGATCCCAGAACCCTGGGATCATGACCTGAGCCGAAGGCAGATAAGCTTAACGACTGAGCCACCCAGGCGCCCCTTTACCACGCATCTTAACCTTCCTGCCCAATCAGACTATAATCAACATTCCTGAGAAGACAAATTTCCTTCATCCAACTCACCTTTACTATACTGCCAACCCTCCACACATGGCTTTACGTGCACCAGAGATTTTTAAAGCACCTATAAAATCCTTAATCCTTCATTGCATATAGCAAGTTTTAAAACATTCATCTCTTTCGCCTACGGAAGTCAACAGAACAAAAGCCAAGGGACCTGAAGGATCCAAACTCCCTTCTCTTTAGACTTATTCAAACTATGCCTTTTGCCTCAGAGCCCTTGTAAGGATGGCAGATATAATTTAAATTCCAAAATCCATACCAGTTAGGTCCAATATCAACCAAAACATAATAATTTGCTGTAAGGAGAAGAAAGGAGAAGGGGGGGAGCTTTTACATCTGCTCCTCCTATCAAACTAGCAGCTTTCACACGTTCGTGTATAACTCTTTTGCATCCCCACTCCTCCCTTTCTTCCTAGGACACTTTCTTCTCAATGAGGAATAGAGCAAAATTAGACATTCGGGCCCCGGTCCCGGTCCCGGCCATCAGTAGCAACTTCACTAATCACTGTAATGTTCATCTTCACTTTTTCCCCCATTATTCAGAATTCAGGATCAGGGTCTGATCTTAACTGCTAAAGAGAAACTGTACAGGCCCAAGACAGCTAGCAATCATTCCTTCTTAATCATTATGCCTGAAGCCAATTATAAGACACTCGGTGGCTAAGAGAGGACCAGCCAGAGCAGTGTAACCCAGTATTCCGCAACGATCAGAAGCTTAAGTTAATGGGGAAATTAGATCTCCCTTGTGACAACTGCTTGTACTCATGGAAAATGCTGGGCAGGGAGTCTGTTTCAAGTGATGCTACAGGTGTCTGAAAGACAGAGTCAAAGAGGTGATCAGGGTTTATTTCTCCTTCAGCTTTCAGTTTGGAGGCTTAAGTGTTTACGTTCTAAGGATCAAGCAACTGCTACTCCCAGGGCTCGAGGATGAGCACGTAACACAGGGGTGGAAACAAGCACTGTAACATGCTACGTATCTAAACTGGAGTGATACAGTGGGGAAAGCATGGGATCCCTCACTTATGAGCAGTGTGACCTTGAATGGAGAGAAGATCTAACCTCTCTGATTTTCTTTGGCCTCATCCATAACATGACGCTGTTACTGCTCACCTCATATGGATAATGCCCAGCACACCAGAGATGCTCAATAAACGGACACTACCTGTAATCAGTGAAGGGTTCTTACGGTCACCTTTAGGGTTTCTTCCTACCTACAGTCACTTTAAAAATCTCTTAAGGCTGGTTTTTATCTTTCCCGGTAGAGTCGAATATTATCCAGCTCGGGGAACATGAATTAAGCCAAAGCTGATGGAGGTCAATTAAGAAGACCCAAGGCCTTATAAAACTGGGAGCAATTTAGTCAAAGGAAATGCTTAATGGCTCTGGCTTCCAATGCTGTGAAATGTCCCAGACATCTACAAGGGTGGGAGCCACCACTGAGTGAAAGACACGGAATGGAGAAACCTCAACCCATGGAAGAGGAGTATTACACACATCACGCATATATAAACACAGATCAGGGATTGAGCAAAGAATCGGGGAAAGGAAAATTAAGAATGAAGCAGCAGGTCAACCCCCAACCCTCCCCACGCACTTCACCTGCCAGAAGTCCGCTCAGTACAAGGGCTGAGCTAGGGGACTGAAAGTATCTGCCAGCTCTAAAATGGATTATGCGGAAGTCAGGAGTATCCGTTTAACATGGGAAAAACTAGAACGAGAGGTCGCCTTTTCCATATAAAAGTTTTCTACGCAAATATCCTGTCTTTTAAAAGAACGAAGAAGAACATCATGTTCTTCTATCCCCAGCCACTTGTCTCGCATCAAATAAACATTCAAAATTCCTGAAACAGGTCAAAAGGCCCCAGTTCTGCTATTAAACGCCATTAGTTACTCCATTATAAACAATCAACTGGCTATTGATGAATGAGCTAGAAAACATTCTAGAACTAACCCACGACCTTAAGAGATTAGAAGCCCTTTCTATTCAATCCACTTGGCTGCGTGTTATAAATTACCACCTTGTATTTATATTATTAGGAAGCCGCCTTTTACGTTGAAGGATTAATTTCCTCTTTACTGTAAAGACTGAACTTTGCAGCCCTGGCATGGTGTGCGAACAGTTAAGTTATCACCTCAACAAAACTCCTGAGAAAAGAAGCCTCCTTCTAAGTGCTACAAATCATACTTTTCTCACTGTTAAGAAAATTCAAAGAGTTCTATTCACCCCTTCACCAGAGATCAACACATTTAATCAAGAACGGTTAACACAAGCATCTGCGAATGGAAGAGAAAAAGGAAATTAAACGAAATGGAAACTTTGGTCTCTGACGATCTCCTCCCTCTGTCTTGCTTTTTCGGTAACGTCTGCTTAAGTTTTCAGCAGGCACTTTCCTCCATCTTGGCATAATCTTACTTCTCAAAAGTGCTTGATGTACTGAAAGGACACATACTTGACGAATGTTCATCAACTGACAGCACATCAACAGACCTCCCCTAGGATGACGGGGCAACGGCCAACTGCAGCCCTTACTAGGGGCTGTGAACATACGAAACGGTGCTAGGGAGCTTGCCAAAGTAGGCATGGCTCTTTTTCTGCAAGGTTAATTTTCTTAGTTAACCCATTTTGAATGCTAAAGCTCCTTATGTTATCTCTCATGGCCCCTGCCTCATGCTCTACTGTAGCCAGAGACATGGGCTAAAGACTGTAAGCCTTCTACTAGACCCCATTCCATCCGTACTAAGGGCACACCCAGTACCAGCTAAGCCAATTCCCTTTAACACACATACTCCTTCTCATTCAAGTGCTCAGAGGAGGCTGAGGGGATGTTTAGGGAAGCCAGGAGGCTGGAGAAGCCACCCAAGAGTTCCATATACTAACCTCTAGGTGGATCTATTCTATGGCCTCACATACAAACCTTATAATATGGTCTAGGTGCTCATGACCTATTATTAAGAGAACAATCAGGACACAAAGTAACAGTAATCTGTTATGGTTCCAATTTGCATCTACCTGCACAAAAAAAGATGAGGCAAATACAATGTTGATGTAAATACAACGGATGTTAGGGACCTGGGGTAATTTTTTTCAATAGATGTTTCTCAATTTTGTTCACCCAAATTTTTCAGTGACATTTTATAACCAGAAAAATACTGTACCTTCACATATTCAAAGAGTACTTTATTTCCCTTATTCTACTCATTTAATTGCTGGAGGTTTCCATGCATTTTTCTGTCTACAAATGGTCTATGTGACCACTGTGATACTTTAAGGGGAAAAACCCAAATATTTTCTTAAAATGCCACCGAAGCATTTTTCATGAAAAAAATACAATTTTTTCCTATCAAGTATCCCCTTCAAATTGTAGCAACTTAAAAAGTATGACAAGATATGAAGAAAATAGAAACAAGTTGCCGATAACCCCACTACTAAAAGACAGCAACAACGGTTTATCAAATTCTCTTCTTCCTAGGAAGATATGTATTGTTACAGGCTTGAGATCGTAACATATCTGTACCCTGTTCTCAGGTATGTGATTAAAGATCCTTCAGAAACCTCAACGGTTAAGAATTGCATATATAGGACACCATGTGTACAGACCAGAGTCATCATAGGACATTTAGACCGATTTCCTATTTGTCATTATTGTAAGTAATGCTGTGATGAACACCCTTGTACAGACATCTTTCTTTCCTTGAGAGAAATACCTAAAAGTAGAATGATTAAATCAAAGGGTATGAATGTTTTCAAGACTTCTGGCACATTGACCTCTAGAAAAGGTGTGCCCACATAACACTCTCTCTGAGTCATATTTATTACAAGAGTTTCAATGGCTTGGCCAATTCTTTCAAGGGGAGGGGGGGATGGAGCTGGGCAGGGACAATAAACAAGAAAGGCCTGGCTGGCTTGAGAATTCCCCCAATCAGTTGGGAGGCAGTGCTAGATCAAATACGCCCTTTTCTTTGCCTGGACAGACAGACACACAGAAGGAGGGTGGGCAGAGAGGAACAACAGTGTTCTCCACTCCCAGGCTCAAAGTGCAATGAACCAACAAAGTAGATAAAAGCCGTTCAGCTGAAGCTCTTCCATTTTATTTACTTGCCTCCAAACAGATCAGCTGCTTCTTGCTGATGCCCTGACTTCTTAAGAAGTCAAAGCTAACAGCAGAGGCCCACAGCGCTGGTGCTCCGGGCTCGGGGCGCCCTGCAAGTTGCACAAGCATTTCCAATCCAACGAGATAGCCAATGCTAGAGCCACGATTGGTCACACTTCAGATAACAACTCAAAAGGCAGAAAACCTTTGTCAATACAGAAATGCATGTGTTTTGTCTGAGCTCTTGATTTGATTACAGTAAAGCTGCCAGTGGCTTTTTTTTCATCAAGGTTCACAGAGAGATTATGAAAGAGTTAGCAAAAATGCCCGGCATTTTAGTCCCCTTCACATGGAAGGAAAAGAAAATAGAATTGTAAAGAAAAGAGGAGTAGTGCCTTCCAACGAAATCAAAAGACCCTTAGCATTAGGATCTGGAAAGAGCGTGACATTCACAGGATGGCCAGAAGGCCTCACACCTCTCTCTCCAGTTCCGAGCTACGCATCCCGTGAAATGCTGTCCACTGCATTACAGCAGAGGTTTCAGAAAGCAACACATTTTTTTTTAAACGTCTGAATGGAGCAAATCTGAGGTGAAGATTAAAAAAGCAAGCCCTAGGATGTTCTACATTCTACCACATGTTCATTTTGGAGGATATTTAAGACTTGTTTTTTCTATAAACGTAAAAACCTCCCCGGGGGGGGGGTCTTGAGTCAGTCAATATGGACGTGCAAAGGACAAGAATAAGACCACGTAGTTGAAAAAATAGTGGAGGTCAGAGGTCAGGAAAATTCCAGAAATTTCAGCTTAGCTAATGGCCATGAAGCCTAGTCAGACGCATTTGCCTTTTAAGGTGAGTGGCCAGCTTCCTCCCACTAAGGTCACTGCTTTCATGGGCCTGTGAATGCAAATGCCGTCAACTCCCTGCGCCCCCACGCTGGGGTCAACTCCCTGCGCCTCCACGCTGGTTTTCCGACTGGCCTAATGAAGGGATGGCCCGTGTGAACTCTGGGAAATTTCCAGTCAGTGATTAAAACACAGATTTGGCTAAATCTGCAGAGTGCGACGAGTCCTGCCTTTGTGAAATGATAGAAAACAAGGGGACTTGAGGGCTTAAGGGAAGGGTGGCCACTTTGATTTACACTTGGCCTGTGCAGATAGATGGGACAATTATTTCTTTTATGTGCGTTTTAAGCTAATTCAGAAAATTTCTACTATTATTCGAGTTAACAAGCTTCAGGCTCATGGGAGGGTTTTCAAAGACCTGGGGAAAGTAGTGGAGTTAAGAAATGATAGCAGGAAAATAGAGGGTACCAGACAGGCAGCTAATTAACATCTTGTAAGACCTTTCACTAAAGCAGCTGGTCTAGTCACATGTTTAGAAGATTCACAGAATTTTCAGAACTGAAAGGGTCTTTAGAGAGCATCTAGCTCAACCCCCTCATTTTATGGATGGGAAAACTGAGACCCAGTTAACTGCCCCAGGTCACAGTGGGTTCACAACAGAACCAGGCTGACAATTCTATGTGCTCTGCCCCTGAAGTTACTACATTTGTTCCCTAACACGAGGAATTAACAGAGTTTTTGCAATGGACTAGCCTCACACAGCTCTATTTCCTTAAGATTTCTTTAACATGCAAACCGTTTGATTCGGGAAGTTAAGCAAAAATGTATTTTCATACTTGTTACATCATTTTTACTATGTGATTCAGAGATATATTTAACGTGGCAGCTCTAATCTTCTTAATCTATTTGGGTTGTTTGATCGAACCATGCTTCTTTTAAAAACAACTAGTCTCTCACAAAATGCAACGTTTTGGGGTGGGCCTTTATGTTGTGGTCCCAAAACACGGATTATGCCCCACTTCTATTATTTCTATTCCTTTGCCTGGCGATTCTTTCAAAGCCCCCTGAACTGAGCATCTGATTAGCATATTCATGAGACAACCGATTCAGCTATGTTAATTAGCAGTTCTACTTCAAAAAAAAAAAAAAAAATTTCCCCCCAGAACTCACCAAGAGGGGGAGCAGCTAGCTCTGCCACTCTCACTTCCTGGCTCTAGGTCTCCAGCCTAGGACAGTACATTTCTGGTTCAGAGCATCCCCAGTTAGAGAGTGGAGAAGGGGGATTACGGTGTAGAAAAAGAAAGAAGTGAGACCTTAAACTCAGACATACAAGTTTAAAATAGGAGAACCCTGAGCATTTTGGTGGGGAGGGATGCTGCCTAAGGAAGTATACTTCTGTACTTTACCCAGGTCTGAAAACACACATGCACACAGTTCACAACCTAAAAATGGATTTACAGACTGTATAATCTCTTTAGATGGGCAAACAGTAAAAAATTAAACGTGTACAAAAATTGAACATGTAGAACAAAAAAAGCCTTTAGAGATAAGGGAACTGGCCCTGAAACTCCACAACTGGCACTTGAACTCTGGAGCGCCTCGAGGAGGAAGGATAGAAATTTGAGGCAATGGGATGGTTTCTAGTTAAAGAAGGCTGACCCACTAAAAGCCTACGAACCTTATTTTTGTTGGAAAGTTTCTAAGAGGGGCACCTAGGTGGCTCGGTTAGGTTAAGTGTCTGCCTTCGGCTCAGGTCATGACCTCAGGGTCCTGGGATCCAGCGGCTTCTCCCTCTCCCTCTGCCCCTCCCCTCCCCCACCGCTTGTGTGTGCGCTCTAATAAATATATAATCTTTTTAAAAAAAATTTTAGGGGCGCCTGGGTGGCTCAGTCGTTGGGCGTCTGCCTTCAGCTCAGGTCATGATCCTAGGATCCTGGGATCGAGCCCCGCATCGGGCTCCCTGCTCGACGGGAAGCCTGCTTCTCCCTCTCCCACTCCCCCTGCTTGTGCTCCCTCTCTCGCTGTCTCTCTCTGTCAAACTAAATAAATAAAATCTTAAAAAAAAATTTATAACAAGTTAGTTGTTCTGGCCTTAGAAAGAAGCCAGTATCTCATAAACAGGACTTAAGTTTTGATGGTACAGGCGGATGCCTGGGCTCAGGGTCACCACTTTAAATTTATACCATAAGCTTAAAGATGGCAAAAGATGCTCCTTTGAAGTTGCCTGACCTTGTGGGTTTCCATGTGTCCCTCTCCTATCTCCTCATGACTTGTCAGCCTTCTTCCTGCTACCTGGCCGCCCCAGCTTGGTTCTCCAGTGGCCATCTTGCTGCTCGGCCCAACCGCCTCTCTTTCATTCACATCAATTAGCTCGGGCTTGTCCTTTATAATGGCCTGGAAAATTCTTTGACCAAGCTCCCTGCCCTTGGATTTCTGAGCATCAAGACAGCCCCTACATAATTTCACTCAACTTTCTCTTTAGGCCTGAGGACAGCTGGCGGGTCCTAACTGCCATCCTTAAAAATCAGTCAACAAACACAGCACCCACTTGAGGATTGTGGTTTGCTGGATACCAGTCAACTGAGGTTTTACCATACAAAAGCATTTAATTATCTCAGAAAACCTAGTCTGGAGGAAATAGGCAACGTATCCCAGCTCTGTTTTGATCTCCAGACCAAACACATTTCAACTACTACTCCTTCAAAAGAAATTTAATCTGTGCTCACGACCTTTATTGTCTATGCCATATTTTAATTTGAAGTCAGAAGAAACAAACTAAAGTTTCATAATCATTTTTCATGACCAGTTTTGAAACTGATAAAGAAACAGTGTTAACACATTTATTGAATGTGAAACCTGGTAGGGAAAGGTCAGAGAAACTGTTTTTCCGTCCTTTTTAAAAAAAACATATGTTAACACTTACTGATAGTGTTTCTCTGTGTGGCTTTTTAAAAATTACACACTGGAATCATACGAGTAATGCTATAAAACCATGGGGAGTGAGAAGAGGAAAGAATAGCTAAAGCGGCAGGCCTGTAGGCGAGAGAGGTCACTAATGTCCGTGGGCTCCGAACCAGCAGGAGACATATCCAACAGGAAATGGGGCGACTTGGAGGTGGCAGAACTTGAAAACAGCTTTATCTCCACTCCATCATGCTACCAACAGGCTAGCCTTTTGTAAAGAGCAGGACTTTTTCCCTTCTAAATGCCCTTATTAAACCCCAAGGGGTCATTTTTATGTACCAGCATCTCAAGTTTTCAAAGATGGCCATCTAATTATCTAAGTATTCTCCTCAAAGTAAAAGAAAATGCTAAGATTACAGTCTTGAATGAGAAATGCCAGAGTCAAGTGAATACCAGTCTTTTCAATAATCACACTAATAGTTTAGTGACCAAGAGAGACAGAGGTGGCCTAATGATGTCTTTTGACAATAACACCCATCTTCACATGGTGTTAACACGTTGTTAAGTACTCTTTATAGTTACAGCATGTGGGGGGGGGGCGTGGACTAATAAACAGGATATATGGATATATAAAACATTTTCATCCATCCAGAAAGAGGAGGAGATAAAATCAAGACAGAACACAATTTTGCACAGTAACTGGTGGTAAAATGGGTATGATAAATGACATGCTACATAGAGAAAACTTTAATTCAACTACATTACAAATTAAATATGCTCTCATGGTCTAGCCTGGGAACCTAACACTTATTAAATCGGTTATAAGTTTCAAATAACAAATCTCAAAAGCCAACATTCGAAATACAACCTGTTCTTTAGCTGGGGACTGCCTTATCAGCTATATAAATCTAATTTAGTCCAACTTCTCACCATGGTAACAAGCCCTTTGCAGAAATACTCAAAGACATTTCACATCTTGAAAATTTGCCTTGTACTTCTTCACCACACATAATGTCAAGAAAAGCATGCTTCAAAGGTACTATGTAATTAGAATGGCCTTTAAAACAGGCACAAAGGAAATCATTCCTATTAAAATTAAATCTACTTCATAACAATCTTCAAGCTGAGTGAAGAGCACCAGAGAAGAGAATCCTGAGGTGTTTTGGACCCCACAGTCTATAGTTTTTAAAGTCTATTATCTGTAACATTGCCTCAGATATGACTGAAGTGCCTCTCATTTGGCTCATATTGGCTATTTCTTCACTATTAAAAGACAGCGTGCATATGAGAATTCATGTTTGGCACATGGGACTGAAAGGAGTTTGGTCGTGGCTTTACATGGACAAATGATGCCAAAGTGCCAGCTAAGGGATGAAGCCCAGCTTAACAACAATTATAAATATAGTAGCTACTTCTGGGTCATTGCTGCATGCAAACTCAAGAGCTGAATTTTAATCCTATCTATGTTCTACAGGGCTTCTAGGATTCTAGTTGTCTCTGGGAAATCCAGTTTGAAATTTAATATGAAGTCCAGCATCTGCAGAATCTCTATGCTTATGCTAAGTTTTCAGATGCCTGCTTTTTATTAGGGAGATTTTTTTTAAGTGACTTACGTCAACAACACTATTTTGTGTTCACCCAAGAAAATAAATGAAAGCCTTTAAATTAAACTCCTTCAATCTCTTTTTTGGCTTCTTGCGACCATATTTCCATAATGCCTACCATACAGATTCTAGTGCATCCAGAAGGATCCTAGCAATGAAGCTGAAGGCTAACTTGCCCTTAGGTTCCAACAAGGAGAATGTCTTGGGAAAAGACAGAGGAGCTCTGAAAAAGCAATCATAGAAACTGAACTGTCCCCACCTCTAAAACATGACTTGCATAAAAGGTGTCAAACAAATTCAAGAACAAAGCACATACTGACGCTTACTTGGACCAAAGTTCCAATACCTACCGTCAAACTTCTTGTAACGGGAAGCAAAGATGGCCTGCAAGTGATTGCACTGTTCGCTGACCACACTTTTGAAATCATCTTTACTTTGCAGGCTATATTTCTCCTCCATCTCCTGAGAGCAGCAGGTATAGCCCTGGGGACAGATCTTCAAATGATCACCTGGAAGATAAAATTGTAGAACAATCAATCTCCATCATCATTCATCAAGTCCAAGAGGGAAGAGTTTGGCTTAAGTGCATACACTCTGCTTCATTTCTACCGGCAAGGTTCCCACAAAAGCCTAGACATCATGTGTATCTGAAATGTTTTACTAAAACTAAAAACATCAAGGCAGTGGGCAGGCTCAGTTGGGTAGAGCATGCAACTCCTGATCTCAGGGTCGTGGGTTCAAGCCCCACGTGGGGGGATAAATAAACCAAAAACATCCATTCCCTTATGGGACAGCTAAAATAAGAAAGCCACCTACAAAAGACAAGAGGACGTTCGAATCAAGAAGATTGCTACACCACAGGAAAATCGGTGTGGCCAATAAACAGTATCATTCAAGATCAACCCAAGGCTTTCTTTTTTTTTTTTTAATAAATTAGTCCAGATTCTATGCTAAATACTGTACAAGTCATATAAGTGAGACATAGTCTTTCTAGCTTTCGGGAGTTTACATTCCAAGAGAAGGTACCCTTAATGAAGAATGATTTATAAAATACATGACAGGGGCACCTGGGTGGCTCAGTTGGTTAAGGGTCTGCCTTCAGCTCAGGTCATGATCTTGGGGTCCTGGGATCAAGCTCCCTGCTTTAGGAGTCTGCTTCTCCCTCCCACTCTCCCACTGTGCTTCCCCTCCCCTCTAATAAAATACAAAATAAAATAAAATACATGACAGCCAAAGACTGAGCAAACACACCAGTAGTAGTTATACTGTTGGGGAAGCAAAGGGGTAAGTGGATTTCAAGGGGTTGCTGGCCAAGAGGAAACAATGGGAGTTCGCGCTGGATAATTTCAGGCTGTGATAAGTCACAAAGTGTAATGGAAAATGATCCTCAAAGTTCAGATTTTCTCATCCAGCATCTCCTGTGCAGTTGTCAGACACTATTTGACCTCATAATACCGGGATATGTAGCCACTGATCCCAATATAGACTAATGGCTTCCAATAAATGTCATCTTCGTGCAGTGATGTAGTCCTAGGAGTCAAGAGAAGTGCCAAAAGATGCATCACTCCACAGCCACTCAACCCACAAGGTATCTCCCTCCCTCTACACCGACTATATTCTGCTTGTGGTTAGGACAGGAAGGTTTGGAGAGCCTTTTTTTTTTTTACTAGATCCCAAAGTTCACCCACACCTTGTTCCTCCTGCCACAGAACACAACTGTGCTTTGCAGAGACCATACCTCTCCCTCATAATGACCAAGAGATGTGGTGCCACTGAAAACTGCACCCCAACAGTTACTACCCCTTGAGTCACACCATCATTAACTGGTGTGATCTAATTTTTACAGATGTTTACAAGGATTCACTGACACTGTTCCTTCTGCTATTGCCATCCATGTTCCACATAAGACGAGGGGTCTGAAAACAAATCAAGATCTCGGGAACTCAGGAATTAAGTATGTTGAAGACATATGCACCTGTCAACCATAAGTGTAAACAATAAATAAAGGGTTGGAGAATGATGAGCCAGTCAAACACCACCAATCACAGGAAATGAACTGGGCCGTGAGCCGGCCATTGCTGCTGCTTGGCTGAGTGTGCTTAGTAGAAGAATAATCTTGACCTAAGATAGATACCGCAGTGGCTTTGGAGAGGTGGGGTACTGCAGATAAAATGGACTTAAGCAACTTAATTTGACTAAACTAGGATCATCTATAGCATGTACACAAATATTACATAATCATACAAATGCCCGATCATTCTTCCTTCCCAGCAATTAAAAAGTAGGGAGAATGTTACTGCCACACAAAAGAGGGGGATACAGTAATCAAGGACTATTTAGGAAAGGGGGGAGGGAAAAAATCTTCAAACAACTTCCTCATCCAGAAACTGCTAAACGTTTCTTTTGGCATTTTTGAAACCCTTGGTCAACAGATCAATCTAACCAAAAAAAAAGGGGGGGGGGGTAAGACTGTGTCTAAGAGTTTAGGAGTTGTGAAGCTGCAGAGTATCTTAGATCTCATTAGCCAAAGAAGGTTGCTAAGGCTCAATTTTCTGCAAACACCTTTGTTACAACCAAAAACAAAACTCCCTCTTCACTGGCTTAACAAGTTCACAGCAGGCCTTTGGTACTGAGACATATAATTAACGGAGAGAGATCCAGTTGTCTCCAGGTTTCAGGGTTGAGGATTTCCCCCAATATGATCTTAACATGTGAAATAATATGAAGAACCCCAACTAGGACAGCACTTGCTGTAGCTGTATTAAATAATCCATCACACTCACACCCCACATAGAAAATTAATTGGAATGCTTAGAGTGAGAGCCTAAGACACGCAGGGCTATTTAAATGAATTATAAGAAGGGAGCAGCTACTTTTTAAGATCGTCACAGGCTAAAATTCATCACATGCTGGCTTTCAAACGCCTGCTAAGATTCCATTGGGGTATGCACTGAATTTCCAAGGCGAAACAATTCATGAGTTTGGAAAATAATCTACATTCACCAAATCTTAACAGGGTTCACACATATAATAAACCAAGGGGCCACTTAATGGATGCTATCAAAATAGGTTTCTAAATTCAAGGAAAAACACACCTTTTTCCCACCCCCAATGCATACACACACACACACACACAACCTGAAGCCAGAAAATTCAGAGACAGCAGGAAAGAATAATTTTCTGTACTTTAGAAGGTGCTAGACATTGAGGGGTATAAAATGACCCACGGGAATTTTACACTAAGGAGACACCTTTCAAAAATGGGTAACAGCAATAAAAGTTACCAGTAACCTGCCGAACGCCGAGAGCACCATTTCCACTCACATACACGTACACTAGAGCATCGAAAAGGCCCAGTGTGTCAGGACGCCTGCGCGGCTCAGTTGGTTGGGCGGCTGACTCTTGATTTCAGCTCACGTCATGATCTCGGGCCCGTGGGACTGAGCCCCACATCAGGCTCTGCACTCTGCACAGGGTCTGCTTGTCCCTCTCCCTATCCCCGCTTGAGCGCATGCTCTCTCTCACAAATAAATAAAAATCTTTAAATAAATAGTCCAGCACGGCCAGTGTACTCTGCCCGTTTCATAGCCATCAGGGGCCCTTAGCAGGGCCTTCTGGAGACCAGCTTATACCAGAACACTGGAGTACATATTTGTTTTGGCAATACCTAATAAGAGAGAGTCCACTTTCATTTCAGAGAGAAGGTCTTTCCAGGAAGACTTTGTCTAATGGTAAAAGGCTCGCCTCGTGTAAAGGACGACAACAGGGTAGACACTTGGCTAATGCTTCTGCTGTCAAAGTTGTCTTCCTCTCTGTTCCAAGAAGCCTACTCCAACAGGCCACTTTGCCTATGTAGCCTGGAATGCACCACTTACTCTGTCTGCATTTCTAAAAAGCATTACTTGAAAACGTAATCTGACATCCTTGCCCAAAGCCCTGCCTGAGACACACACAGTCCAAGACACACTTGTGAATTAAATCCCAAGACATACATACGCTACTGGGGGCTCAGTGCCGTAACCAGTTTCGGCTGATGAGAAATATGAGGGAAGGGGGGGGCAGTCTTGGTGCGTTTGAAAATGGAATCCGAGCTTCGCATTCTCATAAGAACTCGAACAACTCATTTGGTTTTTAAAACTTAGAAGTGTCTGGGTAGCACAGGTGGTTAAGCATCCCACTCTTGGTTGTGATCTTGAGGTTGTGGGATCAAGCCCCATCTCAGGCTTCATGCTCAGCAGAGTCTGCTTGAAATTCTCTCTCTCTCCCTCTGCCCCTACCCACCCCACTCCCCACATTCTAGCTCACTCTAACCCCCACATACTAGTTCACTCTAAAAGAAATAAAGCTTTAAATAAATAAATAAAACTTGACTATTTCTAGGGCACCTGGCTGGCTCAGTCAGAAGAGCACTCTTGATCTTGAACTTGAATATTTCTACTTTAAGTACCCAAAATGGTTTATATTAAAAGGGCACACGTATTATTTGAAAGACATTCTCTTTGTCTGCGACTGCTCCTAAAATGCTCTGTCTGAATGAGAAATGCCTTTCTTTTCTTTCTGGAGATCTCCTTTCTAAACCTGGTGATCCTTTCTCATTTAGGAAAAGAAGGAGCAATGTTTTCTTCGGGCTGAGTGAGCAAGACCGGGACAAGAGGACCTGATATGGGACGGGTGGGCAGACAGTGCAGGGGGTAAGTACTGGGCATGTGCCTTTTTTTTTTTTTTTTAAAGGGCCCTAGGTAATTCTGCTACATACACTTCCATAAGAATTAGTACTTGAATCGCTTAAGTAGTAGACCAACAGAAGAGCTGGGAATAGTCGTGAACCAGTTAGTCCAATGGCTCAGGTGAACAGCGGGTCATGATCTACGACTATTCTTTGTTTCCTCTATTTCCCCAGCTCAACCTCCTCCTTCCAATGACCCTTGTGGGTGCAGGCTTCTCTCCATGTATCTCCTCCTGGCTGCTTTCACTCCTTTCCTCCCCCAGACTGTTCTTCATCACCCTCCTCCACAGCTTCGGACTGCACCAAATATGAACCCGGCGGCTTTTTTTTAAAATTTGTTGTACTTATTTAGAGTTCCCTGATCTTCATTTAAAAAGCAGGTAAGTTGAATGCTTTATGGTTTTCTAAGGAAGCACCTAAATTAAGTTGCTTTTTTTGTACACGGCCCTTGATTCATTTTTTTTCTTTGTGGGTCAGTGGCCTTCTAAAGAAAAAAGGTCCCCTAGCTCTGTCCTCGGAGGCTTGGATGAGATTCAATGAAGCGTGCTTTTAAAGCTTAACTCTATGTCATTAAAAACAAAAAAAATCACTCGAAAGAGCCAAACTTTTTTCAATCGCACCAGCTCTATGTAATTTCTCTTTAGTCTTGATATCAATGCCTTAGTTTTCAAAGCTGAACAAAGACAATCACAATAAATTACTACTCGATCCTGCCGAGTGTGTATTTGTCCCTTTTTGGAAGCTCTTCAAATCAATGGCTAAAGAAGCAGGCACTGAGGATGA